TGTATTTCGTCTTTTGATTAATGGATGGCTGAACGAACAACATAAAGAAGCGAGTATCCACAGCAACACAGCTAGCAGACTCACAACCACGACTCACAATACCTTTGGAAAATCAGAAGAGAGATGGAACAAAAAGTAATTTAATTTCGTATTTTAATATAGTCGATGTTGCTGCTTTATTTTTGTAGGTTTCAAACATCTTCAAGGTGATCTTACAAATTTTTTTGAATGTCTTTGGCTCTTTTTCTTTGGCAATCATTTTTGTAGTAATTGTTCCTTTGTTGCTTGGTTCACGAAAATAACTTTGCTTTTTGGACGTTTGCTGTCTTCGTGTGCATCGTCCAAACTCTTCTTTTTTTCTTTCATATTTTAATTAGCACCACAATTTTTACACTCAAATGTTAAACAAATTTCGCTTTTCTAATATTCAACAACTCTTCATAAGATTTTTTGATGACGCCGATTATTTAATTCAATAACGATGTTAGCCATATAGAATCAATACTTCAAATGTCTTTCAATGTCATGACTTACAGATTTTAATTTCTTAAGTTATAATACATAAAATTTATTGATATAGCTACACTACTTTTTATCATAAGAAATATTTAGTATCATATATTTCACTACGGATTTTTAGTTCCACGTTTGAATAAACAAGAAAGCAAGGATGCTACGAAGGCTATCCCCACTCGAGAATCATCATAAGACATTGAAATAGTTTTACATCACGACTCTGTTTCCTGCATTTATCTAAGTTCGAAAGAAATGAAGTCTTAGATTGAAAAGCTTTAAATGATTCTTGTCTCTGTTTTTATAAGATTCATACTTAATGTAACAAAAGATCCAATAACTAAGGGGACACAATAAATTATTATGATTGAAAATATCTTGATTTTAACACTTCATTTTTTTATTCTTTAGTTGCGTAAATTATCGGTCTGATTTTCATGTCTGACATTTCATGTGTCATGGAAGCACTTTCGATCTTAGATTTTCATATGCTTAAAATTCATTCAAGTTTGTTATAAGAAACATATTTTCTAAAGGTGTTTTAAAAAGTAAAAAGAAAAAAATCAACATTTATTATGATAAGTTATTTGACAAACTACGGAAGTTAACGATGATTGTAGCATAAGGTTTGAGCTTCGCATCTTATCACTAAAATAATTACGATGATAAAATTAAATAAGTTTTAATCTGTAAGTTTTTAAAGTTTCGGAGGCCAATAAGATTACTTTTTAAAGAAGTGCTTGAAAACTTCAATGTATGTTTTGTTTATTCCTTGCAATAAATTTTACCAATTTCTTTTTAAAAGAAATGAGAATAATTTCCATGTGATATAAAATTTTATAAAATAGAAATGTTTGTGTAAAAATTATTATAAAAATAAAAATTTATTTGCAAACTACATCAATTTCACCCTCCATTTCATCTAATTTTGGAAATCTGAGGGTCTTCTGTTAGAAATTCACGATATTTTCTTCTTGTTTTTCACCACACATACATGAATCATTTAAAAGATCTACTTAAATACATGAAATAATGGAAAAATGAAAAGTAAATTTCACATACGAGAGAGAAACTATTATTTCGTTTTTCAAGGTTATTTCATGATTATTACTGTGTTAGTCGTGTCGTTTTTTAGTTGTTTAATTTGTCGCCCAACCAGCCGGAATATAATAATCTGAAAGTGATGAAATTTTTTTTTCATTTTGGAGGGGAACGAGAGATATATAGATGTAGATGGCGTAATCTAAGATGAAATAAATATTTGTAACTTTCCTCGATATGTTTTTATTAATTTTCTCTACGTTTACAAGAAGTATCACACACACTTACCTACATTTCCTTCAAGCTAAAATAATGTTAAAAAAATCTTTTTCCTGGATTCATCAAAAGAAAATGTGCAAAGGCGAAAAAAGGAAAATTTCTTATGGATTTATTATTAGCAAAAGGTGGAAAAAGAATTTTCTTTTCCAATTTATCGTAGATATATCTAAAAATATAAAACATCAGCCTTTTCCTTGTCCTCATCACAGATGAAACCTGTTGAAAATCATATTCAAGGGTCCACACAAACCCATTTAGTTTTCATTTATATTTTCTATAAATAGAACTTTGACTAAGCATCGCATTGAACTTTTTTGTTTTACTTTCATTTTGGTTTGCTTGCGTGATTCTGTGAAAGTATAAAAGTTTAACCCTATGAAAATATGAATAATTTATATTACCATTTTACATGTGCAAATTTCTTTCGCCGATTTTGTGCTAGGAACATCTTGTTTTTCATCTAACGTCCCTTTCATTCATGCCACATTCTTACTTCGCATATAGTTAAGTTTTCTCTTCCTGTCCGCATTTATTTTTGAGAGTAGAGAAAAAAGCAGAAAAGGGGTAACAGATGATTTTATATAATAATTTCTCTCCGATTCTTATGCTCTGTCCCTCTTATAATGTAAATAAATATTTTAAAACGACAGAGAAAAACAGAAAGTTAGTGATGATCGCAATTGGAATCGCTAAAAAGTCGACTTTTCTATGAAACTCACTTCAATTTTTGGTGGAACAATCCAATGAATATAAAAAAGGGAGAAAAAAATTTCAAGGTCGATGTTACGTGAGAGAAATGAAATGGTGTAACACATATGCTGTTGTATGTGCCGCCGAAGTTGGCTTTAATATATACACACATTAAGTCATGTCTCATATTACGCGCTTAAACATTTCACATTTTGTTATTTTCGAATGGCGATTAGAAATGGGAAGAGAGAAAGAAACTGGAAAGCTTTTTGTAATTTTTAGTTAACACAACTTAATAATCTAATTTTTTTTTGGTTCGATTAATGTTTTTTATATTTCAATTTTATGTTCCATTGGATCCTTTTATCATAACTTATAATAGTTAAAAAAAAAATCAATTAATTAGTGTTGCAAACAATTTTCTCAAGAGGATTTGAATTTTAAGCATTTTGCACTCTGCTGTACCCAAATAATATTTTAAAAATTCCTTTTAAAAACTCTTGTTTTTATTTTTTAATTTGTAGCTACATTGTTTTATGTCGTGGCCATTGTGTGACTCAGTTAAGCTATACCTCTCTTTCTGTAAAAAATATTTGTTTTTTTTTCGCAAGAAGAGTTATTTGGGCAGCAATCGTAATCTATTGTCGATTGTGTCGCGCGTTTGTTTTTTTTGTCGTGTTTCTTTCTTTCCTGTCTCTGAGAAATTTTTCTACGTCGTCGCTTTAGCGATCAAGGCTGACGTCATTTCATGATTCTGAAAATGTGCCATTAAGAAATATCAAACGGCGAAGTGAAATGTATGGCTGCTTACAAAACTCTTTTCTGCTTCATTTTTAACGTTTCTCTCATCTACATATCAAGCCTTAAAGATCTTTTTGATGAGTTCATCTTTCATTCAAGCGGAATGAAACAACATGAAATGTAATGAAATTAAAGTGCTGAAAGGGAAAATACTGAGTGTTAAAAGACCATATTTACAGCTTTTGATGATTTTCTAATTGTCCTACATCATTAACATTCGAGTCAGAAGGGATTTACTTCCTATATATGCAATTTCTTTTCGAGTATACGAATACGATTAAGAATAAATTTTATGAAGACGGAAAATATTGAGCATAACATCAAATAAATAGAACGTATATACATACTCCTACCCATAACTTTTCGCTGTTTTTCTACACATAAAACGAAATTCGATGAACAAAAAGAAATATGAAATACTACGACGATAAATTTTTGCGCTTATTTCATTCCATTCATTACTCCATACAAAGTTGAATTTCAATGTGTTCAAGTTGGTTGATCATTGAAATTGAATTTCTCAGCAGCAGCAAAACACATTTTTTGAGAGCACTCATTACCAACACTCGCAAAACTTCAGACCTACTAACACTCTTCGAGCTTACTCTATGTAGCGAGAGACAAATGAAAAAAAAATAATGAAAACTTTTTTACTTTAGTTCTTTTTCTTTTTCGACCGTGTAAGCGCGTAGAGCGACTTCGGTTCTCGGGATTTATTTTATTTTTTAATTTAATTTTGTTGTTTTATTTTATGTTTCAATTTGATAAGTTTTTTCTGCCCCACTTTCGTTTTTTTGAGTTTTCTCCGGTTGACTTTTTCCACGGTTGGAAGTGAAAATAAAATCCAATCCTTTCTCGAAGTGCTTTGGTGAAAAGGAAATCTCTGGATGCCTTTGTGAATTGCGATTTTGGTGCAAGTCAAAAGAGAAAGAAAGAAAGAAAGAAAGAGAGAGAGGGAGAGACCAACGCAAATGTGGATTAAATTTCTAAAATATTTTTAAGTTTCTTCATGGCCACGATCGACGCGTGGAAGTGAGTGAAGAAGAAAATAAAAATTAATTTTTAAAAGTGAAAAACTATTCGAAAGGAAAAAATCACAATAAATGTTATGACATAGCATTAAAAGCTCCGATTAAAATTGCAGATGAAATCGCTCAATTCATCACAGTCATAGTGACATTAAACAATCATTTTTTCTGTCAGCGAAAACTAAGAAAACGTAAATTGAAGAGCAGTGAATGAAAGAAAAGTAAAAAGTTCAACTTAAAAAAATATATGTATATTTATAAAAATCGAACTTCAAGCGAACCAAACCTTCACATTTTCTGTTTTCCACTTTTTCAAAACAGAAAAAAAAACTTTTACTTTCATTTACATTTTGGTTTCACATAATAAACGATTTTGTAATATAAAAACTTTAACACGATTGTTAAGTAATTTGGAAGATTTGAAGGCGGTTACATAAGAACTCAAACACAGTGAGAGAGTGTAAAAAGCTCAATAAAGAGTATTAGTAACATTACTTTCGTTATGATATGATGTAAAGGTTAAGCAGCTATGTTGCAATCTCCCAACGAGCACTGAAAACGTGCCTCACACCCAGGAATAGTTTGTCGATCGTACAAAATATCAAAATATATGGATAATTCAACAAGGGCAGCCGATACGGATTGTTTTTTATGACTCATATCTATCGCACTTTCAGTGATAAATATTTTTTTTCTGATTAAAACCTATTTTAAGAAAAGAAAAGAAGTAAGAAGCGTTGGAAAAATTACAAACAGTGACGAAAAATTATGATTATCTAAAAGTTGTAAGCAAAGAAAGACGCAATAAGCAACTGTTGACTCTTTCCTCTTAGTTTCGTGTTGAATAAAAATAATTAAAAAAATTGATTTCCAAATTTCAGTTGAACTGTGTTTTCACTGAACAATTTTTATATAATTTTTTTTGTTGTGACCCGCGGTACCAAATAATCAATCACATTGGATCATCAAGCAGGTGAGCTATAAATTTAGATTTAAAATATTTATTTTATTATTCCTTGAAATTGAAAAAGAGATCAATACTTCATTAACTTCAAATGAATATTAAGATATTGATTTGACTCTTTTGATGTTTTTAATTTTTTTAGTACAAGTAAACTCAGCTTTTTTTGTTAATTTTTTCTTTTTAATTTTAATGATAAGTGCATTTTGTAAAATTATCATAAACATTCCTGAATTTTAAAGTTAAATCACGTAAATAAACAATTGCCATTTGCTGAAACAACGTAGTAACGCCATCTATTTGTTTATGATGTGCTTAGAACTCAATTTCTCAAAAAATAAAAATAAAATACAAAAATTCATCCATTAACAAAGACGACTAAAAAGTCATAAAACAGTCTACTTAAGAAAAAACGACAAAAATGTCGACCAAAGAGAAGTTTTATGTGTCCATATCCTTTTTTTAATGATGAATGCACCAATCAGAAACGAGAATTACGAGGGAGAGAAAAATTTAGGGTAAACTAAGGAGAACATGAAAGTAGGGAAAGAATAAGGATGCACACATAATATCATGAAAGAAAAAATCTAAAATCATAAATTAGATATTTTTCTTCAAACATGACAGTTTCAATCTTCATTTGAAATATTAAACAGCAGAAAAAATAAAGTGTATGTCACAGAAATGAAAAAAATTTGAGGATGTTTTGAAAGCCTACACAATTTTCATAAAAATCAAATTTAAAATATAAAATTCCATATGGGTTGAACTATCATAAGTTAAGATATTGACATGTATTAATTTTAATGATCTTTGAGAACTAGATAGTTTTTTCTATGCTTGATATTTCTCCTTTCATTGCATTTTCAAGAGAACGTAAAATAAGTTCTCTGCAAATGCACTTTACCCCTCCTACGACAATAATGCACTTAATTCATTTTCAAAAATACAGCCATAAACTGCTTGCTTCGCAAAAATCTAAAAGAAAAAGGCATCAAAACACTGTTTTTAATTTCAACCGGATTGCAACGCGATTTAATGCAATGCATTGCAATGGTTGAGAAAAAAGTAATTTTTTCGTTGTTATGCAATTTATTTAAGTGCAACTTCAATTTCAGTTTACCTATGTTAGTAAAAACTGTAGTTTAAAATTGCAAAGAGAAATATTTATGGCTTTAATTTCTTTTCATTACATGTAGATATCAAACCCTTAACGAATTTTTCGATTGCCTTACTGATGACTATAAAGAATTTAATGAAAATTTGCTTTGATCATCTTTATAAAGAATGATTCAACTTTTATTTGTTAGAGAATTTGTCGTTTAAATTTCTCACTAAAATAATATATATTTGTAAAAAAAAGTAGTACTTATAAGTAGCGCTTAGGTAACAACGTCAAAAGTAGAACATCAAAGCCAAACTTACCTTAAATGCCTTTCCCAATAGTAGTGCTACGAGAGAAAAAAAAGAAACAATAAGAAAACAAAACAAAAATGCTCTGAAAGGTCTCATAAAGCAAAAAAAAGAGTTTCTTTTGTTTTCCAGACCGCAAAGAAACATAATTTTCAAAGTTATGCAATATCGCTTAACAACCGACTTCTCTGTGAAGAAATTTTAATTTTCTTCTCCTTTTTTTTACACGCAATAAAACAATAAAAGTAATCCAAAAGTCGAGAAATTGCAAAATCTTCAACGTCATTTCTTAAGCGAGTGAAAAATATAAAACAGAAAAAAAGCTTTTGCAAGTCGCGTTTTCTTGTGTAATATTTATTCAAATTGATGTGGCAAAGGCTGAAGAAAAGCACAAGAAAACAAAATGCAATAATAAAAGTTTTCTTTTTTAACAAATAGAAAAAAAAATTCTACTAACGAAACATTCAAGTCTTGAACTTTTAAAATCTTGAAAAAATTGTACCAAAGCATAAACTTCCAGGTTTAGATTAAAACATTAGCATAAATATAATTTAGGTTAGAAAAATCTTTGGATAATTCCATAGACCTTTTTTTATTTTTAAATATGATTCATCTAGTTTCTGAAATTTTTTACATTTTAAATGATGGATTTGAAGCAGGAAATGCGATTGCATTTCGCATTAATGATGATCATGCATTTAATTCACAGAGTGTTTTTATCTAATGCCATGAAAAAAAACCTGCTTATTGAAAGTGCCTGATATTTAATTAAAAGATTTATTGGGGGCGAAAAAAAATCGTGAAAAAAGTTTATTCAATAAACTATGCAAACGTACTATATGCAAGTAAATGAAAGTAAAGTAGAGGTGTTCCATTAGTAAAGTATTGACTCTCTCGGGAATTGCAAAAAGAAACCAAGAAAAAAGCAAAGATATCTAGTTAAATATATAAAGAAATACATATGTTGCTAATGTATTTAGTGTGAATGAAGAAAAGATATTTCTTTTTAAATTTTCGTCTTTTCGTCAAAGAGAGTCACGGAAGTATTTTATACAATAGCGCTTTTAGACGTGAGCGAAAAAGATTTGGAGGGAAAAGAAGAAACTGAAAATATCGTCGTGAATTACTGACCTTCGCTTTCGATTACATGCGCTGCGTCTTACGCTGCGTGATGAATGAGATAGAAAGAGATTTAATACGCTCTCAACTTCACAACATATAATGAAAGTGGCCCAATCATCAAAACTTACTACAAGCGAACAGTCAGAAACGAAGAAAGCCACATAGCGCTGTTCAATTCTCTTTCATGTGTGTCACATTCAATTGTACATGCTGAGCTTGTGACGAAACCAGTTTTTTCGTATACATAATGTTGCATATTTTCATAATACATAAAGTTAAAGTTACTTCATACTTCGATGGTTAACAAAACTCCACAATAAAGCATTGTGCTGTATATTGAAAGCGAAATTAAAAAAAAATACTTTCACTAACCTAGTTTTTCTTATACAATAATTTTCATTGTACAATCGCATCAGTATTTTTATTTCTGTATACATGGAACATCTCACTTGAGAGCCACGACGAGATTCACTTCGTTCGATTGCATTTTTTTTTACTTTTCTATCAATGCATTCACAGCTTTGCAATTTTGTTGCTCAATAAAGCGCAAATACTTACAAAGATTTCAAACAACTCTTTTTATATTCTTTCGCAAAAAAAAAGACTTCAACGACATATACGCTAGTTTAGCATAATTTTCTGCCTTCCAACAAAGTTTTGTGCAATATAATTTTTCACAAGCATTACAAAAATTGCAGAATTACAAAACGACAGTAAACCAAATCAATACTTACTTTTTAAGAGAAACATTTTTAAATATATTTTAAAAGTGTTGTGAAAAAGAGAAATCAAGGATGATTGAAGGACATCAATGAAATTATGAGTTTTAATTTAAAATACAAGTAAGCCCATCTAGCTACTTATAGTATATTTTTTCTGAAAGCTCATATAACCTCTGCTACTTCCTCTGCTCATTTAACACAAAATTCAAGGTTTTAATTTTTTTTCCTTCTTAATATTGTTCAAGAAGATTTCAATCATGTTAAAATTGAATAATAATAATTTGGAAGATTGTTTGGTGGGTATGACTCACAGCTTTCTAAACTGTAAAATAACTCTGCTACATTATCTGCAGTCTGATCTGTCCGATGTTATTACATCATCGACAGCGAAATAAAAACGAACGTCACGAATCCAACTTTCAACCATGAAAGTAGAACACTCTCGTTTTTTATTTTAAAATATCCTATCAACATTCACTATGAACAATTTCTATTCACACGTTGCAAATCATGTGCTTAGTCGACAAAATAGTAACTCAAAAGAAAAAAAAAGTTATCTTATCAACTTGCAAACGGTTGAATGGGAGGTTGTAAAAACCAAAATTGAAGCTTAGTAAAACACTTACACTTTCAAAATGATTAAATAAATGGCGGAACCAGACATGAAGTTAAATTGAATTTACAGGGATATAAGCGACTTTTAACGAAATGGATATTTATTAATTAAGAAAATTTTCTTAGAAATATCTTTAATTAAATATAAATTTTTAAGCTTTTTCATTCATGAAAGGAAAGAACGAAAGTCTACATATATTGTAATAGTGAACGAAAAAAGAGAGAAAATACAAGAAAAACTAAAATGTTTCTTAATATCTAAGTGTATGCGATTAAAATGATAAGAATAATGTTTAACTTTTATAATAACAAAAATATAAATTATAAATTATGATTTCTTTTCTCAATTATTAATTACAGTAATAATCATTAAAGTAACCGTATTATTTCATCAATAAAATTTCTCTTGTTAACTTCTGCTTTTGAAAATGTATTGAAATATGGGGCTAAGAATTTTGATTTAATGAATTGGAAATTCCCTGTGAATTCCAATGATTATTGATCAGGGCTGATCATCAGGTTATTTATTTTTCACTATTGAACTCGGTTTTTCAGGGAGTGTTTTTATTGTTATCACATTTTCCAGCCATTGTAAATAGATATTTAATTAACTATTCTACAAAAAGGAACATGTTTCCATTCAAATTTGTTTCTAATTCTCATATAGAAATTCTGCTGATTTAATGAGATGCAGTTCTGCTTGATTCTCAAATTTCCAGTATATGATTCCACGTTCCGACATTTTCATTTGACCTAAATTTTGTTCAGTTTCATTTTTTTTCTTGACCTGACTCGTTTGCAATACTTTGGAATACTAATTCAATATTTCATATTATGTAACTCAGCATGTTTTACTATGAGTATGTAAAAATAATAGTACCGTGCTAGAACAGAGAATGTAAAATAAGAATTTATGAGCGTCACCGCCACTATACACATTCACATGAACGGGCATTGATCAACTCATTCACTCATTTATTCTTATTGAAACTAAACTATCTATTGTTCAGCTGTTTTCTGAAAAGTTTAGAGATTATTCTGAGCCCCACCTTGGCTGTTTTTCCTATTAACCAAAGTTCAATTTAATAAACAAAATAGATTTATATTTAGATAGTTAAATAAAAACTATGAAGATAAAAAAAAAGTGAAAATCATTGTAAATTAGAAATTTCAAATAAAATTTTTGGCCTCGTATTTTTTTTTTCGATTAGATGGCCTTTAAATGATAACAAGAAGGGCTTTTGTCACACACTTTTCAAATTACACAAAAAAACGGGAAGCTTTTTATTTGATGACAGAGATGGGCAAATGTTCCGTTCAACTCGATT